CCCGCCCCCCCGCAACGAATCACTTGTCAGATCAATTTTATCTTTACCCTCCTCCCTACTTCCCACTCTCCCCTCCGCACCCATCGACAACCCCGGGGTTGGTTGGTTTGTTTTTCAGCTTAGGCGTTTTACAAACCTTATATGTTTTTCGGATTGTGATGTTTTTATCATCGCCCCCCTCCTCTCCCATGGCTACTCTTGTAGACATCTATTTCTGCCCTTCCCCCGCTTAGGGGGCGGGGGTAGGGGGAGAGAAAATAATACAATTTCAGGGGAAGTCGCCTTCAGGTCTGCTGCTTTTTTTTTTTTTAAATAATTAAAAAAAAAAAGGGACATAGAAAACATCAATCTTGAACTCCTCTTCAAGAACCCGAGCTGCTAAGGAAATCTTCTTTGTTTTTGTTATTTATACGCTGTCAAGTTTTGAAGTGGTGAGTTTCAGGTCGGTTTTGCTAATTTCACTCCGTAAAACTGCAGTGTTTCTGTTTCTAGGTAGTACTTTGCTTCTTTGTCTCTTTAAAAGGTCACAGTGAAAGCTTGGCCTGGATCGTGCCGGCCATATGGAATGGATAAGGGCACAATCTCGCACATGTGATTGTGGGGCTCTGTGGGGGCAAGGGTGGTGATCCAGCCAGGAGCTCATGGAAAAGGACCCTATATTGCGAAAATTAGGTTCTCAAAACTGGGATTTCATGATTTTCTTTCTTCCCTTAATTTCTTTTTTAAAGGAAATAATTGCTGTGACGAGTTTCCTGTTTTATTTAGTAATTTTCATATGTGGACTTAGTTTTTGAGCCGGGAATTGGGGTTTTGAGAAAGTGGCCCTCTTGCTGTGTGTCAGCCAGACTTCACACTGAAAGGGGTTTTAAATGTGTAACTCAAACTCTTCAGCCTGTCATGAGTTGATACCTTAGTTACTTTAACCCTCTGCCCTGAGCCCAGGCAGGCCTGGTAGAAGCTTCTCTTTGCAATTCCAAACCAAGGTTTGGTGAACTTTTAGCCTTGGGCATAGAGTTTAAATGAGTAAATTAGGTGTTTTATGTGCATGTAATTTTGTTTTGTACTGTAAAGCTTTTTACAAGATGACTGGATGTTTAATAGATGCTTATTGGGGGATATTCAAGGGACAGTTTTGCATGACCAGTGTGATGTTTTGATTGTCAATACATTAACTAAATTATAATCTCCTGCTTCCCTTTGCTGTGTAGTTTTTAATGCCATGAAGTCCCTTGCCTACTTCATGTTTTGTAACATTAGCTCTGATGCTATAGTTTACACCTCACCCCCCTCCCCATACACACACCTTTTTCTCTCTTAAATTGCCCAAAGATTAAGAATTTTTTTTTCGGCTCATGGTTTAACATTCATCTTCTGCTCCAGGGTAAGGCAACCAATTTCAGAAAAAGCAGCCCTCCATTATAATGTACATGAAACATCATAAAGAGTGTTTTGAATAAGTTAATAATCGCTTTGGCTTTAGCCTGCAGTTTAATATAATGGAAAAGAATAATCTTGATAAAAAGTGGTTAAAAGAGGCACATTTATTGTTAATGAACCTCATAACCAAAACCAGATGGGACCTCTAGCAGCCGTAAACCTTCAGTTCTTAGTATGCCACCCTAGAACATGGGTAGACGGCCATTATTTCCCCAAACTTTAGTCTTTTAGTTGGAGTTCTTAGAGCTACATTTAAACCTCCGGATGAGCAATTCTCTTCCTCCTCCATTCACCCCCTTTCTTGGTTATATGGGGGCAGGTGGTCTATAGTTACAACAGAGGGGGAAAGTGTTTACATAAAGGTCCTTATTTGTAACAGCCTTTCCACAAATCCAGAGGTAAATGATACACCCCGCCCCCCTCCCCCAAGTACAAGATAAGTCGAATTACTACAAATCTGCAGAGAAGTGGCAATTGTATCATCATCTTTCTGGTTTGTCCAAATAGGATCCCCTTAGTATTGGCTAACTTGGTACTTCTAGACCCACAAAAGTTACTAAATTGTATTCATTTCTTCCATCAACTGTAGTTAAAATCATTTTGGAAGTGAGATTGGTAGGGTAATAATTGCTTTCTTAGGAACAGCATGAAAATTTATGTCTAATATATAACTGAAAAAAATTACCTGCTTTTTTTTTGAAGTTGATAAATATGTTGATTTGATTCCATGCTGAGATTATTTTTACAAAATATGAGATTGTGTTTTACCAGTATTATCTAGATTTTAAATTTACAAAATGAAGCTAGGACTTCAGTTTAATGTAAAAGTCACAAAATATTTTAAATATTTCTGCAAAGTACCTTGGTAGCATTTTATTTTCAATGAACACCTACATTTTAACTCGGAAGCATGAAAGTGGCAATAGTTCAGTGCCTAGGATATTACTTTGTCCTGCTTGTCTGAAATCCTCCTATCACATGCTTGACCTGAGACTTGACCAGATCTCTACGAGGTCACGTAACTCTTCCCATGTTGACAGTGGGAAGCTTTTTCTATGAATGAACCTGCAAAATGAATGGGTTACATAAAAAGTACTTATGAATTTGCTGCCTTCTTAGGAGACGGTATCTGCATTGTTTTTTTCTCATACAAGTTAGAACTTTTAAAGATGTACACATGTATTAGATTTAATTAATACTTTAGACTGCTAATCGTACTGTCCTTGATTAAAATACTGATTATATTCTGTAATGAATTTTTAATTAAAAAAATTAAGATTACATACGTAAATTAATTTGTTATTTTCTTTTTAGCTATCTATGTGGTAATTTTTTTTAATAGTCCATTTCCCCCCACTTTGTTTGGTTTGTAGGTGACAAATTACCTTCTTAGTCATATGTGTTAGTACAGTTTCCACCAATTATTGTGTTAATTTGAGTGGAAATGTAATGCTGCTATCTAGAACTATAGTAACCTCTGCATTATATCATTTCTCAATAAGCAGTTTTATGAATATGGTATATTTGTGGAGATAGGTAACTAGGGGTAAAACTCTTACATGGGATATATATATATATACACACACACACCCCCACCCTCCCACCCACCCAATTATAACATGTCTTCTTTTTAAATCCTGGCAGGTGATCTTTAGAGGGTAACTGAGCATGGATCATTTGAACGAGGCAACTCAGGGGAAAGAACATTCAGAAATGTCTAACAATGTGAGCGATCCGAAGGGTCCACCAGCCAAGATTGCCCGCCTGGAACAGAACGGCAGCCCACTGGGAAGAGGAAGGCTTGGGAGCACAGGTGCAAAAATGCAGGGAGTGCCTTTAAAACACTCGGGCCATCTGATGAAAAGCAACCTTAGGAAAGGTAAATAACCACAGGACAGCAAGCCCTCAGGTTTAGCTAAGGCAACCTTGTGTGGGAGTGGAGAGGCCGAACGGATCTTTGTATTATTCTTTTCCTGGATTTTCTTCCTGCTCTGAAGTGACTTAGTTGCATCCCTGGCTGCAGTGTCAATCAGGCTTTGAACATTGGAGGCCCGGTGCTTGGGTGGAGCACTTTGCACCTCCATCCTGTGGAATCCTTGGACATTTGGGGTGACACAGACTGCATGCAACAAAATGGTCTTAGACCAGTTTTCCATTGATACCATAGTGGTGGAATAGAGGATCGGTAGGTGGCTGTGGCTTAAACTAGCCTTGAGTAAAATGCAAGTGGCTTAAGTACCCACCTAGCTTTTTATTTTTAAGAAGATGACTAGTTATACGACAGTTTCTGAGGGAATGGCGAGCACATATGATATCATGTTACTTTGTGATATCTGTCTTTGTGGTTCAGTCTCTTAAGAGCAAATTCATGGTTTAGCAGCAAAGCCCTCTTCTTCTGTTTTCTTTGTTTTTCTTAATTACGATAATTTTTGCTGTAGCTGGGTGCTTTTTGATAAAGGAAGGGCAAATTCAGACAAGCTTAAAAAGGGAAAGTATATAACAATCTGACTACTTTCTATCAATTTTATGTGAAAGGGAGAAGTTGAGCAACTTTGGGTGTGACATTGTTGTTAGTGTAAATTTCTGGCTCGTGTGCTCCTCCTCACAGTCTTGACTTTGTCTCTAACTCGTGTGCAGTTCGGTTCTTTTGTACATTTACGAAGCAAAGGATAAAAATACCATCTTTTAGGCACCAAGAATATTAAGTAGTTAAAGTTAGAAGGCAGAGGAATTTCATTGTGCTTGATGCATAACATTTATCATACAATCATTTATTTTTTCTTGGTTTGGCGAAAACAAAGAATATATTGATCCTGAAATGAACAGACACAGCAGTCCGTATTGTTAGATCTTTATCTATTAAAAATGGAAAAACAGCACTTCAGCAAATTCTTTGGCCTCTACTCATGATTACCCTATTTATTGATTGTTTGCCAAGAATGTATGCATCTTAAGAAAGCCAGGGTAAGAGCATTAAAAATATAATTTATTACGGCTTTTCAAACAGAGTGCATTAATATTGTACTGTGAAGCACTGGGGCTCTATAAAAAAGACTTTCTGACGCCTGCAAACATCTAAGTTCCATAAATTCCTAAATAGGAGATTTCAGCTGTCTCTGGTATTATGTGATATTTGCACAGCAAACTTTAATGCCAGGACAGTTTTAGACAAGGATTCTACAGACTTCACTGCTCCTTATGGCAGACGTGCTGTTTACAGAAGCTCATAAACCTTTAGCAAAAGCTTCTAAGACTGCCTTCAGGTTTAAATCATGTGGTATTTTTAGCATTCGGCAGTGACCGGTGAACTCCCCTTTAAATGCTGGAAGGCGATGAAGTCTGCTATAGTTGGAAGTCTCACCAAACACCAGCACGAAGAACGCTTGAACACACTGCAGAGCAGGCTCCCATTTAGCAGGACTCCCAGTAATTGGGGGGTGGGGTGGGGGGGTGGTGACAGTTGGCAAGAAGATTTAGGAGCTAGATTTGTAATTAGATGATACTATTGTCACTTTATCAGTGGACACCTTTATTACCTACAGGGTACCTCTAAGCTTGATCAATAAAAGGTCCAAAATAAATCCAATATATTTCATTAGTTCAGAAAGCCTACAATGATTTCACAGGGCCAAGGCTCAGCGTGTAGTGAGCACGCCCGTACACCCTTAGAAGAGGGAAAATCAATGCCTGTGTTTTGGTTGCGCTCACCCAGCTCTTTGAAGACAGCAGGAGAGAGAGGAGAAACCAGAGTACAGTAATTTCACTTCCTGCTCGAAGGCCCCCCCTCACCAGGTATTGCATTCAGTGACTTATTGGTTGAAGGCACCCTCTGCGTATGCCAAGCAACAAAGCTACTTAAGATAAGCCTTTTGGTGGGGCTCCCTCCCTCCCCGCGCGCGCACGCACACACACACACACACACACCCCTCAATCTTATTTTCACGTGCAGGGCTTCTGTTTGACAGGTGCGAGATACAAGTGGTGAGTGACTGAGAAGGGAGAGCCCGCTTAAGAAAAAGGGGCCCAGTGGTTTTGTTGATCGGTGTAGGAGATTTTGCCAAAGTACCTGCCAGCCAAGGGAGAGAGCAGCAGTGTGCATCTTGCTGTTTTTGCTGTGGCCTCCCCAAGTTGTCTTCTGATCCCTGACAGGTTCTCTCTCTGGTATAAAGCAGCTGAATGAATGACAAGCTGCTTGGCAAGCTCTGCAGCGTGTCTCCCATGCCGTGCCTGCTGGGTACCTCCAAGTGAGTTTGTGAGCGTCTCTCAGTCCACCTAGAGGGGTTTATTTGTCAGGGCTGGAGTCTCTTGTGAACGGGCCGCTAAAGCTCTGGTGGCGCTAGCAAAATATAGCTGCTTTATTGCCGGCTTTTGTTCAGCAGATAGAGAATTTTGAAAGGGCATCCCTGGCGTCAGTAGGAAATCCCGGTTTTCGCGGTGGTTGATTATGGCTCGGCATCTTCGGAAGTTGGGAGGGATTCTGGAGTCCAGAGGGCAGAGCTTATGGCATTAATGTTGTAGGACTGATTGGGGATCCTGGGTGCCCTGTTAAAGTAACCCTTGCCATCATTTATGCTAAAGATGATACCTCCCTGGCAGGTTGCCACGGTACCGCTCAGATGCATCTGCTTGTAACCCTCTTTCCGTTGATCACTGGAAGTCTGACAGTGTGCTGCGCAGACACCTTGCGTGCCACGGCGTTCTGCGGTGCCAGTCTCTGGAAGCAGCCTCTTTTCCTGCTGGTACTGTGGCCCGTGCTTATTACTTGGCCAGACCCCGAGTTCCTGCATTGGAGTAAAGTAAATAGAGAGCCCAGCCATGCGATGCAGGGTTCCTTTCTCCCAATACATCCTGATGGGGCCAGTCCTCTTTTCTCTCCCTTGTTTTCATCCCATTGACGATAACCAGGATGGTTCATTTTAAGGACATAGGGTGACCGTGAGACCTTTTGGGTTCGTCAGACTAAATGAGTAGCCATGAAACGAAAGCCCACTGATCCACTTTCTGCACATAGCGAGGGCATCTCGTTTTGGCATCAGTTGGGTTCAGTTTTGCATTTCTTTTCTGGAACCAGCAAGAGCAGACCTCTGAGAAAGGAGGGAAGAGGGCGACGATCAATTTCACAGCCAAGGTAATTTGAGGGTGGGACCCAAACAGGAAAAGTTGACTATTAACACCGTTGTGTAGGAAGCCTGAAGGTGCCTTCTTCTAAAAAGCCCTGGAGTGGGTTACGTGTGCGTGCCACTCACTCAGAGCTGAGCAGACGAGACACACTTGCCTCCCATCAGCGTTCTCTTTTGGTCCAAAAGGTAATTCAGCATCCCTCGATTTGGGCAAATGCCCCGGTAGTTAGAGGCAGTATCTGAGTTACCTGAGGAACAAGTTCACATTAAAAAAATTTTATATTTCTCATTTAACTTAAAAGAATAAAACGGAGGAGGGAGAGGATGTATGTATTCTCCATGTGTGTGTGTGTGTGTGTGTGTGTGTGTGTGTGTGTGTGTCTATTTCTGGGCCACGTCTGCTTGGGAAGCAGTCTCCCTCTCCCTGTTGGGAAGATTTATTTTCATGGCTTAGTTTTCCCCACCCCAGCCTGTTACCTCTGAAGACTTGGTTTGCAGCTCTTTCTCTCTCTCTCTCTCTCTCTCTTTTCCCCTCCTCCGTCTTTTTGATAGGAACTATGCTACCGGTTTTCTGCGTAGTGGAACATTATGAAAACGCCATTGAATACGACTGCAAGGAGGAGCATGCGGAATTTGTGCTGGTGAGAAAGGACATGCTTTTCAACCAGCTGATAGAAATGGCATTGCTGTCTCTGGGCTACTCGCATAGCTCAGCTGCCCAGGCCAAAGGTAAAGAATGCATGTGTGGAGGTGGAAAAATATTTTTGCGTGTGGCATCCTTTGTTTACCTTCTTCCCGAGAAAGCACTTGAGTCTTTTGATGCAAAGCACTGTCGCCCGTGTTGTTTTCCATGGGTTCCTTATAGACGGTGGCTTTAAAACATTGGCTTCATTCAGTTTGGTTTAGTTAACACACATTTTGCTCATGTGGAATGTCGAGGTAGATTTTTTTTTTAAATTACTTCAGCTGAATCATTAGTATGCTTATTGACCTTAATAATCTGCTCCACTGAGGACCCACAAGGAAGTGAGGAGCGTGTTTGAGCAGATGGACTGTCGAGAGTCGATTTGCATTTATGACTGAATATCTAGTTCTGTTTCTTTTATTCTGTTTCTGATGGTTTTATGAGCTGTAAAGTATTTTTCAATGCTGATTCCCACTGCAATAGAGAATCTTATCTAAATCGTAAAGCCATTTAGAACTGGTTCAGCGATGTCTTATTAGAACTTCCTATAAGTTAGGAAAATGTGGCCTTATGCATAGGCTTTATTGATGGGGTTTTATTTCCAAAATAATAAACAACCCTACAGTCATTTGCATAATTTCACAATTTGGAGAGCTAAACTGAATATTTTCATTGACCCGCCTTTTAGAGAGAACAGAATCATTTAAACAGAAATAACAATATGATTTGCTGTGGGGGCTGTGGGGAAAAACATTGCACTCATATCCCATCCCCCACCCCCCCAAAAAAAACCCTCCAACTTTTATCTTGATGGTTGCCTCCTGCAGGGTAAAACATTTGGTGACATAGTCTCTTTATCCGGAATAGGGCTCATCCAGGTTGGAAAGTGGAACCCAGTGCCACTCTCCTACGTGACAGATGCCCCTGATGCTACAGTAGCGGATATGCTTCAAGACGTGTACCATGTGGTCACATTGAAAATTCAGTTGCACAGGTGAGTCAAGACAGCAGCCCCAGGGTGAACGAATCTGCTTCCCTGATGGTTTGAAATAAAGCTTCCCCGGCCAACCTTAAACTTCCATTCACCCTGTGTTGCAGACTGGCTGATTCAAATTGGTTTTATATCTCATTATTCCTTTTTGCTGTTTTTTTTTTCACCCTAACTTCAGTGGATAATTGAAAGGCACCTGCCTCCCCCTCCCCCGAAAATGAATTTGTAGGCTCATGAAGGTTATCACAAGACAACACTTTCTACGTTCAGTCAATTAAATGATGCATTACAAGAAGGCATTTTACATAAAGTTTACTTAAGAGGAAAATATTTTTGCATATCGTGAACAATGCCATCTGTGTACATTTTGTGAAAGAATGCCTTCTTCACCATTGCCTGGCTCTTATTTATTTTTACGTATATGCATGTTCAACCTTTTGGTTCGTCTGAACAGAGGAATGAAGGGAAAACGGTGAATCTGTGAATGCTTTTCAGTGTGGATCGTGAGAGAGCGGTACACCTTAAATTGCCTTCCCAAGCGCATCAGAGCAGGAAGGTAGAAGTAACATGAAAAAATAGCCACCACAGGCAGCTGATGTATAATTCATGCATCGATACAGCAGATGTGTTGTATAAAGTAATTAACTAATCGGAACAATCAGGAGACCGAGAGCAATCTCCAGATGCATCTGTTTGATGCGCAAAATGAAATCTGTCTGTCTTAAAGGAATGTTCTGCGGAGGGATGCAGTCTCGTAATAATCCTCTTTCTAATCTGTGTCTTGAATAGTTGCCCCAAACTAGAAGACTTGCCTCCCGAACAGTGGTCGCACACCACCGTGAGGAATGCTCTGAAGGACTTACTGAAAGACATGAACCAGAGTTCGCTGGCCAAGGAGTGCCCCCTTTCACAGGTACTTAGCATCGCATGCAAGAAATACCAAAACATCTTGGGCAGCCCTGGTGTGAGAGGTGTGTGGTGGGATGCTACCCTCGGAAGCAACTGGTCTGTGAAGCAAGAATCTGCCCCAGATGCAAAGTGAATTGACCCCTGGCGACCTTTCAAAGTAGGCTCTATTCATCTTGAACTCTCCCTTGGCAAAAAAAGGAATTCTGTGTGTAGGAAAGACACAGTGCAGCAGCCGGCTGTTCTAGCTCTGATACTCGTTCTAGTGGTCTAAGCCCCGTGATGTTAAGAAACAGCAAAGGTGAAGCCACGCAGCTTCTACGAGAATGTCGCTATGTGTGAAGGTATAAAACTTCATGCTTGCAAACGGAATAAAGACCGCCAAGCTAGGATACTCTGTTTCTTTCCAAAAAGGGAAATGCAGCATTTAATAAAAAAAAAACTCATCTTAAAAAGAGGAATAGATTCTGTAACTAAAGATTGGAATAGTAGCTATGGGTTCAGGATTTTGAAACCATTTCTGGAGCAAGGTCCTATTTAAGGTGAAATCATAATTGTTTGCTGAAACACAGGTTAGACCATCAGATTTTTTTTTTTTTTCCCAATGAGCCATGGATTCTTCTCAGAGTGAATTTTGGTAGAGGGCAACTGGAACCCTAGGTAGCGCCCACGATTGTTTCTCAATTTAAAACCAAGCATTATTTTGATAACACTCAGCTGGTTGCAAAGAAAAAAGAAAGAAAGTGTGCTGTGCCCCTGCTCTTCATGGGCAGCTTGTGGGGCCATCCTGCGAGCGTGTTATTCTGTCCCCTCAGTCCCCAAGCCTCATCGGTGGCACATTTCCATGGCAGGGGAACGCCCAGGACCAGTTCCATGTTTACTGAATTTTAAAGTTTTTCTTTTAACGGGGAATTTAGCGTGTAATTCTGAGTATTTGTCTGGCAGTCATTTGAACTTGAACTGTATGGCTCTGTTGTCAACACTGGCTGCAGTTGAGATAAGGCCCTTTTCTCAAACTGTATTTCTAAAGGTGATAGTGGGTGTCTTTGAAAGGGAGCTGGTGGGCTTCTGTGCTCCTGCTTCTTGGACGCCTGGTGCATTTAAGGTTTGTGACCATTGCAGGCCTACAAGCTTGCTTTGGTATCTGCTAGCAGTTTCATGAGTGAAGCAAATGATTAAATTTAGAATTATTCGTGGCTTCTGTGTTTTCCTAAGGCAAACTATAGTAGGTCACAGGGAGAATGTTCTTTGTGTGGTTAAGAGTCCATTTCTTGAAACCTAGAGCAATTTTTTTCATTTTTATTTCAGTTATACCACCAGCCAGCTCTTTTTAGCCTCTTTCTCATCCTCCTGGTAGAGAGGGTGTGACTGTATAACCATCGAATAAAAGTAATTTAAGTTAATTAAACACAGTTAAACCAGTAGGTTGATATAATGAAGCGCAGCGACTCTTAGAATTGATATTTTGGGTTTTGCAGATAACTCCAGAGAATGTGTTACTTGGTTACGTGGCATTTGGAATGTCCTAGAAATACACTTTTTTTTTTAGACTCAAGAGTTGAAATAGATATAAACACCCAACATAAGGATCTCACAAGTCTTCATGCCCCTAAATATCCTATAGAATTTGAAAATAAATTTAAGCAAAGACTTAAAATGTTTACTGCGAGTTGGAGAAAGGGGTCTTAGTTACGAACACTTGTTGATACAGGCAGTAAGAACTAAGTGTTCCGTGACATCAGCATCACCATTCAACTCTACCTCATTTCTTGCTTATCCATGTAATTGTGATTTTGCTTACTGGTATCTTGGGAAACGAACGGAGTACAGACAATTAGGACTTTAAACAAAATGCTAAAATAAAAATCGGGACTTGATTTTGGAGTCATGCCTTGTTGTATTTCTGTAGCGAGGCCTTCAGAAGCAACAGGAGGCCACATGTAGCGGGAGATCCTGCTATAATGATGTAAGTGACGGCGCTGGGCTGTGACTTGAACATCAGTTGTAATTATCTTCTTCCTTTGCTTAAAACAGGAGCCTTGGTGGTGTAGTGGTTACATGGTGGGCTGCCAACTGCAAGGTCAGCAGTTCAAAACCACAAGCCGCTCCTCAGGAGAAAGATGAGGCTTTCTACTCCTGTAAAGAGTTACCGTCTCAGAAACCCACAAGGGCAATTCTACCCTGTTCTATAGGCTCATTATGAGTTGGAATTGACTAAAATCTCGGGGGAAAAGTTATGCATAGTTTAGCGGTGGCAGGAATTATTTGAAATTAATATGAGATTTAACATTATGAGGGGGGGAAAAGTTCACCTCTTCTCTAAGTGAGGGAGTTGTATTTTGCTGCGTCATCTCCCCATGTTTCTTTCTTTAGAATGAATCCATAAATGTCATATTCAGCTCAGAATGTTTTAATTATGGACTATTTTCCATTTGCTTCTTTATTATTTTTTTCTTCCCTCTAGAGTTATTAGTTAAAGATGAGAAATGCAGGCTCCCTAAGGCCTAAACCCAAAATATATGCTGAGCATGGCAAAAATACTCTTTCTCCTGTGGTTAAGGTTTGGTGACAAAAACGCCATGCTTAAACGTGCCCAGCAAATAAATATTTCCTTAGTCCTATACAAAATGGGGCCTGACACCAAGGAAGTGTAAATGTGAAAAGCCTTTTGTCCTCTCCTCTGGAGTTTTGATTTGGTGGTGGGAGAACTTTGAGCATAAAATCTGCTGTCGGAATTTTGGTGTGCATTAAGGTTTTGTTGAGTACAGTAAGGAGTCTGGTAGCAAGCTGTGGCTACCGGGCTTCTAAATATTATGTTTAGCAGAAAAGCCCACCTTGTGTGCAACTAGCTGATGACTACCGAGGAGAGGCCAGGAAGAGGCCCCCAGGCATGTACTTGGGTATTTGTCTAAGTCAACCTTCAAAGCCCTTAGGAAGTTTGTCCATCACCTGCCACACAAATGTCCACTTGAACTTGATTCATAGATTGAGGAAGGATTATCCTCCCCGGACTCCTCCTTTGACAGATAAAGGAGCCGACGTCTGTGCAAATTAATATCAAAATACTAGTTAAGTGACTGACCGAAGAGTTCCGATATGTAAAAGACTACGTATGTCCTTTCCTATGCTAAGTTTTAAAATAAGCGTGGGTTTTAAAACGAACCTCCTCCTTTCTGTGTGTGCACTAATGTTTTTTCTGATAATATTTGCAAGGTTTTTTTTCCCCCCAGCTGCAGAAATTCCATGAGTGAGCATGTGGTTTGATTTACAACTCATACCTTGATTTCTGTTATTGCTCTCCTATCATAAATCTGCCCAAATAGATCGACATGCATTTATTAAGTTCTTTGTACCACGTGTTTGTTTATTTTTGTAATGTTTATTTTTGTAAAGTGTTCCAAGACATAGAAATGCTGAGCTCATTATAGATTGGAGGCTGGCTGTTTTGTTGTTAGCTTGGCGTTTTCAGTGGATGTGGTTACGCGAGTTGGCTATTGTAGTCTAAGGAGAGAAGAAAGTCGGGCTTGCAGACAGTAAGCTTACAGTCCTGAAACCTTGAAGGGGCATTTCGGAGATACATTTGAGAGTGGAAAACAATTTTTTCCCCCACGCTGTACTACAACAGTTTTGTTTTGATGCTGAAGTTCGAGAAATGGAATTTAAACACTGGATAGATAGATATATATTCTGTCTGCTTTGGGGATAGATTGATTTGCTTTAAAAAGACCATAAGTAAAAGGTGAGTTAGAACCTTTTCCTGCATAATGTCTTTCTTCCAACACTGAGAGGTTTTAATCTGATATGTGCATTTTAACAACACATACAGTCACACAGCAAAGATACACAAGCCCGTATGCACACATGAACATACATCAGCTTTCATGTTTTTAAGGCACCGATTATGTTCTGTTTTCATTTCCCTCTTAGGAAAAAAGTATCTCCAAGCCCAAATCCCATAAAAAGTGAGCGACTATCATCACTTTAATTTTCAAATAGCAGAATATATGAAAAATAAGACTTTAATTTAAACCTTCTATTTAGAATACTGAAAAAAAGCATTTTCAGATTTTCTTTCCCTGACAACTTTGTGTACCTAACATGTACTCATTATTACATGTTGATAAAACAAATTTTTTAAAAAAAGGAAATTGCTTTTGCCCTTCTCTGAGACTTGATTCCTCCTGTAAGCGCTTATAAACCTATGTGCTCAGTTAATTTTCAGTGTGTATTATAATAACCATGGAGCAATAGTTTTAATATTCCTATCAATTCTCTTATAGATTAAAATTTTAATCACTGCCACTTAGTAATACTTTTCTCCATACTTTTTCTATTGAAACCAGGTGTTTAGTCTTCACATGCTCCCAGGACAATGGTCAGCACCAGAATTCCTGTAACTCATGTGAGAGCCCAGCCTGGGGCCATTCTTAACGTGTTGTACTTATTCAACATGTGAAGCACATACTGAATACATGCATATGTATTCAAAACTATCCCTTGGCAGTCTTTTGTTAGCCAGACATCCTATGTTCTGTGTAGTAATAAGAATGACCCACCTCTTAAGATTTGAAATATTCATAGTTAACTTTCAGTTAGTGCTTTTGATGTACTATGAACGCTCCAATCACACGAAATGGAAGATAGCTCTCCCTCCTCATTTCCAAATGAGGCACTTGAGACGTGGAATAGTTAACTGAGTGTTCCTGGGTACCTTGCTAGAGAAAGTAAAGGGCCAGCTTTCATCCTGAGACCATGTGAGCTCAACAGAGTATTTATTAATGGAAGTTTAAAAAAGATAATCTTTACAAATGAATTTTAATGTCTTTTATAAAATCATGTGTTTTCTAGAGGTACTTGTAGCTTTCCAGTTATATTTTTGGCGCTAGGATCTTTAAACACACATGGTCTTATTGTTACATCTCTGATCCTGTCCTTTGCATGTTGCCTGTTTCAACACGTGCTGCCATCTCATGCCCCTCAATCAAGGCCCGAGGAGGTGATGTAGAT